CCCGATTATTAACAATTAAGAATAAAAATGTGATAGCAATGTCCTAAATGTACTAAATGTGTAATGAATGCTATCGATGCAGGTGCAATGATGAATTCCGTCAGTTCGTGTCTTGTTCTTGCGATTTTTACATTGCACTGTACAAAACGTGCACATTTCAATTGATACATAAGTCACAGTCGATCGTTCAGTGTTAAGGCTGAATTGGGAAAGTCAATATATGAGGCAACAATGCAATGCAATAATATATTTTATCATACCAAAAAGTTCGAAACTATGAGATAAAAAATGGTCATGTGGTATGAGTGAAAACATGTAGAATCAATCAATGGAACGAAAATGGAGTCTGCAGAAAGGAGCAGACACCCTCGGGGAAAAAAAAAACATGAAAAGGAAAGGATCTTACGTAATTGTGAGAGACCACGAAATCCTACCTCACACAGAGCTCGCCCAATTCGCCTGGTTTTAAAAAGTCACTGTTGTGTGATGGTGTTCTTGTGAGGCTCTTGCGGGACCAGTCTCGTTGATTGGCATTAAAGCCATTCTTGTGGGGTTCTGACTTAATCGTCTGATTATTCAAGTTATATCCGTCATTACCGACCTCGAACTCGGTTTTATTATCATTAGAATTAAGTTTTGAGCTGCTTACGCGCATCTGCCGCTCGATCGATGACTTTATGCTACAAATATACTAGCGTTAGATCGAAGGATCAAATAAACAAAATTATAAACAATACGTGTGCCTGTGGGCGGTCTTTCGTCGTCTCATCAATTTCTGCAGAGTTTGGGATCGTATTGGTTTGAGTCAAGTTATTTTGGAAATAATTTTTCCACAGCAGCAAAGAATTTGACCGAAACAAATAGAATAAACCTCTTCTTCTCTAGGGTAATTGCAAATTAAAATATTTACGATTGTGTTACTCATTTGATTCTATTTTTTTTCGATGGTCAGTCAACCCGAACAATCATAGAAATATTATCGGACTGGATATTCCCTGATATCAGCACCCAATATGACCCCAAAAATAATAAGCGTGCTGAAAATAGTGCCACACGTTTCCACACAAAAATATTTACGATATCATTATTTACTCGTATAATATATCTATATCATGCAGACAGGAGAGATAATCAGAGGATTTTTTATGGGATAATCTATAAATATGAAGAAAGGAAGCAGCTGTCTTCCGGTGCGTGAGATTGAAGTTTGATGGTCAATAAATCATACCTTTTGACATCGTAAGTATCGACGAGTGCCATGAAACCATCGGGAAAGGCAATGGCAAAGCTTACGAGTGCGGCAAGTTCACTGTCAGATGCTTCCATTACAAGTGCATCGAGATCAGAAGCTATTGCCTCACGATACTGGCACGCAAGGTCAAGGAGATTGAATTCCTCCCCTGTCTCCTTGTGTCTCAGTGTCTGAAATGTTGAATAATTATTTTTACCCAAAATTATTTTTAAAAAAGTGATAATTTTGAGTAAAAGGAGAACATCCGTAATTTCTACTCGGAATTAATAAAAAATTCGATTAAATAATAATTACTCTGAGCTTCAATTCGTCGATTCCGGCGAAAGAGTTGATATAGGCATGAGCGTGAGTTCCTCGCACTGGGATATCGAAAAGTTTACCAGCAAGGATATTACTGGTTCCATCAAACCCACCTGGAAATATTTTGTGGGAATTCTAAATAAAGTAATTAACAAATGGG